GCGCTGCGAGGCCGTCGTGGTGCGGGCGTTGGGTAAATAAATGGCGGCCTGGCTGCTAACGAAGCTATGGGGTGCGCTTGGCCTGGCTATCCATCACTTGCCGGTAATCCAAGAGGGTCGTGATGCGGCGGGCACACCAGAAAGAATAGACAACTACGATTAGAACAAGAAGGAAAGGGGCATGGATCGATTACTACAAGACACGAAAAGGAAATGCGTCGTGTTGTGCTTCTTGCAAGCAAGTATTACCATGTTAATCTCAAAGCGCGCTTGGGCCTTGGAAAGAGGAGCGCATTCCCCATGCCCCCTCTCACTTATGCCGCCCAACTTCCAGGCCTGCCACCGGACTGTGTGCCCAGTCTGCCTACGTAGTTATCATGCCATCAAGGCCCTGAAGCGTGCAAGACGTGTTTGAACCCAATGACAGCAGCATCGCGTATCACAGCTGAGCGCCTGAACTCTGCTTCACAGGCTACCCCAGCGCGTTCAGCGCCAACTCATCTCCACCTCACCTCCTATCTCCTCTGGGCCGCCTGTACTCCAAGGCGTAGCCCCTCTGCACCCGCACACCCATCGTCGATTCCTCCGGATCTCGCGATGCAGCCTTCGCCACATGTATGCACCTCGTTGCGATAACCTGATATACGGTACGATCTATGCCAGATGTGGTGTGGCTGATGAGGGCACCACCACAGCCCATTGGCTGACATGTGCAACCGCACTTCCTAATACGTCGCTACCATACATAAGTAGTCGCCAACTGCAACGCTTATCACGAGATGCGACTATTATCTTCACAGACTTGACGGACCTGCTCGACTTGTTGCGGCGGTCAAACACCATCAAAGTTTATAGTAGAGATTTATGTCACAGTTGTGTTCTGTCGCTACGTCAGCTTGTTGTCGCCAACTCATTCACCACGGCTTGAAATATCACACTTTTGTCCCATTCTTCCACATACGACCACAGGATCATGAAATCAGCGCTTCCCGTTCGCTCAGCGGTACTTAAGCATGATACCGGTAGATTAGTACTCGGGTGGGTGACCACCGGGGAATCCCCGCTGTTGTATGTTTTTGCCATCTTTTTTGCCATTTCTTGAACATGTAGATGCGTGCGTGCACACTTCCATCACTTCATTAAGGAAGAAAATCGAGCACCCTGGAGCCTACGTCAGTGGCGGTGAACCCACTTTGCATGATTTTACATTGATGTAGGCTGCAGACCTGCTCATTTTTTTTCCGTGTATGAGTTGCCATACACGTGCCTCCTTGAATGACGGCAGAGAAGAAGTGAAGACATGAGCACGAAAACCAACAAGGGTGATTTAGTAGTGAACGTTAGCAATGCTTATACCTCATACATAAGATACGTTCACATTTCATAGAGCTGGTATGCGCTCCATACCAAAGCGTACCGGTATCGGTTTCAGCACGTATAGCGTGCGGGCGACGGGGAAACTCGTCATAACAACAAAATACCCCACCAAGCACAAAGCCCCCTTCGCCTTCCATTTACAATGCTTCGTGATGGACCCGGGTTGCATATCCAATGCCATCCCTCTAGCCCTCTGTTCGAGTCTCGATTCTCAGGCTCGACACATCATATCCAAGGCGACGACCCGTTCTCGGGCTTCCCCTTGTGAAGCCCAAAGACTTAGACCTAAAAGTCCTTGAAGCTCTCTTCCCACTTGTCGCTCAGTTCCTTGGTATATGGGTCTCTCTTCTCCGATTCCGGTTCGTATTCATCAAAGTTGCGTGTGTCAGCGGGCCCCCTTAGATGTGGTACGATGGGTCCCTGGACTTCGCGGTTGTACAGCTTCTGCCAGTCAATGTTCTTAAACCACTCATGTTGTTTCACACGTTGAGCGCCGCCTGCGACGTTACCCAGTCGCTTGGATGTGTCGACGGTGCAGAGGCCGGAGATGAGGTCGCGCGCAGTGGGGGACATGGCAGAAGGGAAGCGTACACGTCCTTCTACGATTCTATAAGACATTAGCTCTCCTCTCTCGGACATCATGGATACCTGCGTACTGCTCGTAAATCTTCATTGGGTTCTGGTCCCAGAACGGTGGTTGTCCCACGAGGAACTCGTACACCAGGATACCAAACGCCCACCAATCGACTGCTGTGCCGTGGCCTGTGTTCCGGATGACCTCGGGGGCCAGATACTCGGGTGTGCCACAGAGTGTGTAGGTCTCTCTATTCTCTACCTTCTTGGCAAACCCAAAGTCCACCAGCTTGAGGTGGCCTTCGGCGTCTATGAGTATGTTTTCGGGTTTTAGGTCGCGATATGCGACGCCTTCCCTCTCGTGGAGGAACTCTAGGATAAGGACAATCTCGGCAGCATAGAACTGTGAGGTGGGCTCGTTGAAGCGCCGTGCTCTCCGCAGGTAACTGAAAACTTCGCCGCCGGGGCAGTAGTCGAGCTGTCCACCATGTCAGTCATTGACGAGTGCTCGCGATAGACGCCGCTACGTACCACCATGTAGAGGGAGTCCAGGGATTGGAAGCTGGCAACCATGGTGGTTATGAACGGGTGGCCAGCCACTTTAGCCAGAACATTGCGCTCGTTCCGGACGTGCTCGACTTGCTTGAGCCGAATGACTGGGCGACGGGCGTCAGTAGATGCAGAGGGCGCATGTCGAGGGCGCAGACGTACCATCGACTTTGCGCAGAATCTTCAATGCGAAGACTTTGTTCTCGTCGCCCGCCTTTGCGTCCTTCAATCGCACCAGCCACACGCGCGCAAATGTACCTGACGTAGAGTCAGCGTCCTGTCCTCGTCTAGCGGCGTGGACAAGTATGCGCACCGGTGCCGAGGGTCTTGATCAGCTCAAAGTCTTCCTCGCGCAGGACCTTGGACGAGTGGCCGACGGGCTTCTTCTCCGGGTCAATGTCAATCTCGTCGTGGCTGAGCGTGTGCTTTTGCGCCTCCCATTGCGCCAGGTGCTGCTTCTCTTCCTCGCGCGGTCGGTCCATGGCCGAATCGGTGCGGTCGTGTAGCGGGCCAGAATGCGACGGTGAAGAGGCCTCCTTCTTGTCCCGGTGGTGTTGCATGGGGTGCAGCATGTTCTTGAAGGTAGTCGCCATGGTGGCGGGTTATGCGCCTGCGACAACGGGGTAGGGGTGCGAGTAGTAGGCGCGATCGAGGGGTCGGGTGGGTTGCTCAGGTGCTGTCTTATCCGGAATCAGTAACGGAAGCAACTCATGGCAGCAGGCACAGGCAGCGGCGGGGTCAATCCTCGGGTTTGTAGGTGCGTAGTAAGCAAACGTATCGTGAAGGGCAGCCTGTGGTTAGGCGGGTCGGCCGGGCGTGTAGCACTCGACGACCGCGGCCAAGGGGCACGTTGGACTATAAAGCGGGCGCGACCAGGTGCATGCATGGCGGGGGCTTTTGATCACTCACTCAATGACGCAGGGCGTGGGGACTGGGCTTGCAACAAAGCCGACTTAAGCCTGATGAGACGGCACGCCGCTCCACTTGTCGAGTACGAACCTGATGTGTTTTTAACTTTCCGATGTGAGCAAACATAGTGCCTTTTTAGGTTCCTGTTAGCTACTGCTTAAACAGACTTCCCGTACTCGGCCGCACCAGACGTAATTACACGCTATCGGCCGACGTTCTGCCATTCTGCCTGTTCATCTCATTTCGATACGAATCGCCATACGAGGATATAACATGCTATTCGACTGTACTAGATATGCCCAAACTCCGAAAACTGTAACTCCAAGTATTGCATGCTCGTCAACTATATCTACACCATGTAGTCGTACAAATGCCCACCGCCAAGTTCGTCTACAACGTAGGAGTTGAGTGTAGACGTTTAGAAGAGACAAGTCTTGCGTGATTTGCAGCTCAGCCACTTGCTCGGGTGTTGAGGATGAGTGCGACGATGAGTCTAAGCATGTTAGTTGTTGGCTAGTCGCATCACTCCGTTGGACGTACCCGTAAAGACCCAGGACTTCGGCGAAAATGAGGATGAGGACCATGCCGACGAAGATCCTCGACTGGCGCATGAAAGAGCGTACACCCTACATGTGTCAGTGTGTGCCGCCATTGTAGAACCAACGCTACATACGGCGTCTCCCACGATTCCGATCGCGTAACCCGCAGCCAGGCCAGATAACCCGACTGACAGACCGGCAGCCATGTGCATGAATCCAGCATACAGCGAGTATGTGTTGTCCGGCGGCGGCTTAATGTCGCTAGCGATGAGGACGGATATGACGAGGGCGTAGACGGCCAAGATACCGGACATGACGATGGGGATGAGCGACTGCCCTTGTTAGCCGGAGCTCTTACAGACACCAAAGACAGCTTCCTACCTTCATAATCAGGTCTGGCCTGTATGTTCCGATACCAGCGATGCCGATGCCTGCTTTGGCTGTGCCATAGGCAGCTCCAGCGCCTGCTGCCGTTAGCTCCTGCACGTCCAAGCGGTTGGGTCGGGTCTCGTACATCCAAAGATCATCTGGGCGCGGTTCGTATATTAGTTCGACAGCTACGTGGGAGAGGTGCTACTCACAGCAAACGCGATTCCGCTCTGCGTCGTAGGTTAGCTATGAAGTCATCAACACGGCGTGGCACTCACCATGCCAAAGAACGGCGCGAAGCTCGGCGCGAGCTCATTTGACGACATGATGCCTGCTCGGGTGATGCGCAGGTCGGGCGGGTGGTGTAGTAGCGAGGGAGTCGACGCGTGATGGGTGAGGCGTTGAATGATTGATAGTCGTTGCGCTGGGCGTTCGTAGGAGAATGGCACTAGGCTGCTTCGGGGGGCAGCACGCCCCAGCGCTTCTAATACACACGATCGTGGATACGACTACACCATACCCGCCCATTTCGCACCTACACCACCTCGCATCTTCACGTATCTTCATTCAGGACGGCCCTGGGTCCTCGCTGGGCGGCTTCAACCCTTCCTGCCCCAGTCGCCCTCCTCCCCTCGGCCACACCCCGCGGCACTGCACCCCGACCAGGCAAGACTGCGCAGAGACATGGCCGACTACGGGAACCACCAACGTCCAGAGTATGCGCGCGGTCCCAACCATGGCCAGCCCTCGGGCGCACGGGAAACCGCCTTCACCAACATCTTCGGCGCCAGCCCCCAAATGGCCGGCCGCTCGCAGACCATGACTTCGCAGTCTCACATGCGCATGCCCGACAGAGCTGCCACCATGTCCAGCCAGACTGCCGATATGATGCAGCGCGCCCCGCCCATGCGCCAGCCGGTCAATGGCTATGATCGTCGCCCTCATCCCCAATACGACGCGCGCCCGGGCAGCAATCCCGGAGAGCAGCGGCCCATGGACCCCCAAAATGCCTACAATCGCCCCATGCCGAACGGCTACGGCCAAGACCCACGATACCACCAGGGCCCTCCGCAGCCTCAACGCCAGCCGCAGCCGCAGTACCTCCCCCAGCCGCTTCGCCCGGAGCGTCAGCCATACGGACAGCCCCAGCGCTTTGACCCGCGAACCTCCCCTCCAGGGCAGCCCCCCTTCACCAAACCCATACCCAACCGCTTTCCCGGCCCACCGGGCCCTGCAATGAACGCTGACCCGTATCGCTCGCAGTCACTAGCTTTGAATCCGCGCCCGCAATTCACCCCCGGAGGACCTTCTCACCCCTCGCAAGCAAACACCTTCCGCCAACAACCGTATATGAACCACATGGCACGGACTACTGCCCAGGGGCGTGTTGTTCCAGAACGACCCGACGAACGGACAATGTCTATGACCTCTTACACCAGAGACCCCGAGCACACTCAGACAATGAGCGGCAGGATCATACCAAACCGAAGACGAGAGTCTGGCGGATCGGAAATGGCACCTGGAGCGCCCGGCCAGCCCCAGCATATGAACGCTGGACTCCCGCCAAACCCCAGGAGCATCAGCCAAGGCAGCGTACCAACCCAGTCCCGCACCATGTCCATGGCATCGACCGTTGTGCCTCCGTCCGAACGAACCAACACCATGTCTTCGATGACATCGCGTCCTGACTCTACCCAGACTATGGGTAGCAACGCCAGCAACAACAGAACCTCGAATCAGTCCATGACCTCGCTATCACAGGGGCAACAGGTTCCTGCCGCCCAGCGACGCGCACCGCTTGTGTACCCCGCCTTGCTATCACGAGTTGCCGAAACCTTCCAGGATCGAGTTGGTCTAACAGAGAAAGAGAAGGACGGTCTGGTGTATAAGAGTGCCTTTACCGGCGCGGACGCGGTTGACCTCATCTCGTTCATCATCAAGACGACGGATCGTAATCTAGCACTGCTTCTCGGCCGCTCTTTGGACGCCCAAAAGTTCTTCCACGATGTGACTTACGCTCACCGGTTGCGAGATTCGACCAACGAGATCTACCAATTCCGCGAGACCATGGTAGAGGACAAGTCTGAGATCAACGGCGTCTTCACGCTTCTCACCGAATGTTACTCTCCCACGTGCACTCGCGACCGCCTGTGCTACTCCATTGCTTGCCCCCGCCGCCTCGAGCAGCAGGCTCGTCTGAACATGCGCATTCAGCCAGGTCTCAAGCGTGAGGAGTCTAGGGCGAGTTTGCATGAGGACAAGGACAATGAAGAGCAGAAACTCTGGATCAACACTGTGCCTAAGGAAGTGTCTGAGAGTGTGTCTGAGAAGGAGCAGAAGCGACAAGAGGTCATATCTGAGCTCATGTATACCGAACGCGATTTCGTAAAGGACCTGGAGTATCTCCGCGACTTCTGGATGAAGCCTCTCCGTAACCCCGCGACTTCACCCATCCCCGAGCACCGCCGCGAGAAGTTCGTCCGCACTGTTTTCTCAAACTGCCAGGAAGTCTACATGGTGAACTCGCGTATGGCCGAACAGCTCACGAGGCGCCAGCAGAAGGAACCCGTTGTTCGGAATGTCGGAGACATCTTCCTCGAGTATGTGCCACATTTTGCGCCCTTCATAAAGTACGGTGCGAACCAGCTCTTCGGTAAGTACGAGTTTGAGCATGAGAAACGCACAAATACCGGATTCGCCAAGTTTGTCGATGAGGTAGAGAGAATGAAGGAATCGCGAAAGCTCGAGCTCAATGGTTATCTTACCAAACCAACAACAAGATTGGCCAGGTACCCGCTGCTCTTGGAGAACATCGCAAAGTACACAGCCGATGACAATCCCGATAAGGAAGACATTCCCAAGGTCATCAAGATTATCAAGGAGACTCTGTCGAAGGTCAACGTGGAATCTGGAAAGGCGGAAAACCATTTCAATCTGATGCAGCTCAACAAGGACCTTAAGTTTAGGCCTGGAGAGTTTGTGGATCTGAAGCTGACCGACGAGAACCGGCAATTGGTGTTCAAGGGTACTTTGAAGAAGACTCCCACTGAGACCACTGGTGACATTACTTGTTACTTGTTCGATCATGCAGTTTTGTTGGTCCGGGCGAAGACTGTCAACAAGCGCGAGGAGCAGAAAGTCTACAAGAAGCCTATACCTCTGGAGCTGTTGGTCATCACCCAGATGGAGGAGGTCAATCCCAAGTTGGGCATTTCCAAGAGACCATCAGCCAACTTGATCGCTGGCAAGGCCATTGCCGCTGCTACTCCAAAAAACAACGACCCCAAGCAGCAAGGATACCCTATCACCTTCAAACATCTTGGAAAGGGCGGTTACGAGTTGACACTATTTGCCAGCACCCCCATATCTCAGCAGAAATGGATGGAGCACATCGACACACAGCAGCGAAGTCTGAGGGAGCGAAGTAACATCTTCACTAAGACGATCGTCAACGAAGGCTTTTTCTCTCCGACCATCAGAGTCACCTGCGCTGTTCCGCTGGGTATGTATCTCATCATCCTACTAATAATCTCGATACTAACTTTTGACAGACGGTGGTCGCAAACTGGCTCTTGGTACTGATGCTGGTGTTTATGTCGTGGAGCGGAAGCCAAAGGATGCCTCCATGCGACCTCGTCGTGTTTTGGATTGCAAGGGTGTAACCCAGATCGAAGTTCTCGAACAACACGCAATCGTGCTTGTGTTAGCCGATAAAACGTTATATTCATACTCGACAGAGGCTCTGGAATCCGACGAGACCCAGTCCATGGTCAAGCGGCCACGCAAGATTTGCCACGCCAACTTCTTCAAGGCTGGCATCTGCTTAGGGCAGCAACTGGTGGCTGCAGTCAAGACATCCGCGCTCTCGACCACTATCAAGGTGTACGAGCCAAAGGAGCAGATGGGTAACAAGAACAAGAAGTCAGGTTTCGCGAAGATGATGCTCTCAACGAGCGGAGCAGACCAGCTCAAGCCCTACAAGGAGTTCTACATTCCCACCGAATCGACATCTATACATTTCCTGCGATCCAAGCTATGTGTCGGCTGTGCACGCGGTTTCGAAGTCGTTAGTCTGGAGACGCTTGAAACACAATCGCTGCTCGACCAGGCAGATACCTCGCTTGACTTCGTCGTACGCAAGGAGAACATCAAGCCAATTCATATCGAGCGTATGGCAAGCGAGTTCCTGCTTTGCTACACAGATTACTCCTTCTTCGTCAACCGTAACGGCTGGCGGGCAAGGCCCGACTGGAAGATCACTTGGGAGGGCACACCACAAGCTTTCGCCATCTTTAACCCCTACATCCTTGCCTTTGAGCCTAGCTTCATCGAGATACGCCATATGGAGAGCGGCGGTCTGGTGCACATCATTACAGCCAAGAACATTAGATGGTTACACACTTCGACACGAGAAGTAAGTCAATCACATAAGATCACATTCGTACAGAAAGCTAACAAAATCCAGATCCTGTACTCCTATGAAGATGAACTCGGCACCGATGTCATTGCCAGTCTTGATTTCTGGCAAACTGCAAACGGTGGAAAGCAGTCGCTTGATGTCCAGCGCTCATACGAGAAGAGCTAGACTCGACAGTAGCCCGCAACAAAACCTTAACGTCGAGCCTCTACCCTCGAACACACGAGCACGAAACCAGTGGCAAACGCATAATCACAGCCACGTATGCACCATCTTTTCTGCTGATGACTGCTTTGCGGTTCTCTATGTCATCCTACTTGTCAGCGGAGGCATGCGACATTGTGGTCAGGGAAAGCTCAGGAAGTGCCTCGACCGAGCCGCGGGCGGTGGCGATGGTTGATCACGTTGATTATTACTCTCCTTCTCTGAGGTCAAGAGGAGAGAATACATTTGTATCATAATAGACTCGCACGGTGATTGATCTCGTTGGGTTTTCCAAAGGCAACTAGGCTCAAAATGTGTTGGAGGCATACCAGGTAGTGCGATTGTTGAAGATATAATCTGAAGATGCGATTTAGCGAGTTTGATCACCTTCTCTTTCCTATTTGTCATCTCTCTACCTCAATCCCGAAGAGTTATGTTTTGGTACTATGGCTGCGCCTTTTAGTTCGCTTCACTTGCTCGCATCCCGACACCATACCCGAGATGCGGATTAACCGCCGTTACCGACGCTGGAAGTGGGTATCTCCACCGTCACTAACACTATGGGAGGTCTAGTCGGATAACGTGTTCCTTAGTCTATGGCTAGCTTCATGGTCGGTCCTATTTCTCGAACCATCACATGACGGGGTTCAGCTCAGTGTAGTAGTACCTCCGATGTCGTTCCTTGTCACTATACTGCCGGAACGTTATTATTCTCCTACCGGCATCTATCCACTGCTTCTTCACCGATCACACGGCCAAACAACTATCTGAATCGAAAGCATCGTTGCTAGAATCATGGCTCCCGGTGTACTATGGGTTGCTTCACGCGTCGTGAATCCTGATAAGCTTTCTACTGAGAAGTTCTGCGATTGGTACGAGAATGTATGTACTTCGATCCTTCTTCATGAGCAGTTTCCCATAAAACCACGAAGAAGCTGACGAGAAATGAAAGGAACACATCCAAGAAGTCATCAGCCTCGGCGGCGTGCCCTCCGGTGTACGCTACCAAGCCATCCAACCCCAACCACCATCTGTCTACAGCAATGAATTTCCATGGCTAGTACGTCCCCAAATTTATAACCACAATGACCCCCATCTAACCCCCAAACCCCAATAGGTAACCTACGAATTCCCCGACCTCGTCTACAGAGAAAGTGAAGACTTCAAAAACATAGCCGGCAAGAACCCTCCCAGCCAAGAACTAATCAACACAATCTACAAAAACTCGGCCTTCGCCATCCGCTTCTACGAAGAAATCCAAGCCGTCAAGGGAACCACTACATCGCCTACTAAATTCGTCATCTCAGCTGCTCTCCAACCGCCCAAAGACGCTTCTTCAGACGCAGACTTCGATGCGTGGTACCGCGAAGAACACCTTCCGATTCTCTCACGCGCACCGGGCTTTGTGCGCTCGCGCCGGTTGAAACTAGCGGCTGCGTCTACGCTGGAGGACTTCCAGTTTGGAGATGCGATGGAGACGGCGCCGAGGTATTTGGCATTGCATGAGTTTAGTGGGGAGGTGTTACCGTTGCAGGAGTTGGAGGAGAGTGGACAGACGGAGTGGGCGAAGAAGGTTATGGGTGGATTGCTCAAGCAGGAGGTTGGATTGTATGAGGTTAAGAGGGTTTATAGTGAGGAGGAGTGGGGGAGTGTTGGGAAATAGAGAGGAACACATAACTTGTTGATGTTTTGTGAACTGTTCTCATTGAAGTTGGATGTGTCGTCTATGGACGGCTAGTATGCTTTGGTTGCATATATTCCTTAGGTAGCTACCTAGGCACATCTGCTTGCAAATGTAGATTCGTATCATTACCTAGCTACCTACCTTTTGGCTGATGGGTACACGTGATCTCATTCGCCAACCCTGATCAAAGCTGTCCTTCGAAATCGCTCAATAGCGTCTCAAATACATCTGCTGTGCCATGTGCGTCTACTGACGCGGTATGCCATTTCTTCTCCGTAGTTGCCACGGGGGTCAAGCTCTTGCCTAGCTTGCTCAGCTTTCATAAAGGACCATTTGGCGCACACCTTCCCACTATATCCAACAAATAGTAGACCGGGACTTGGAGCTCATCTTGGTTCTCTTGGGCGACAAGAATATGGTCTTCTCTGCACTCTATATTCGCCAAAGCATCGGCATCATGTCTAGTACCTTATCTTAGGTGCATAGTCAAGGTCCGATAGATGGCCAACAGAATTCAACTTAATGAGTTAGAACCGTCACCATGCGGTGTGCTAGTGCAGTGCCATATGCGCCACCTATTCGTCTCTGTTCCAAGACTCTAGCTGGCAAACATCGTAGACACTAACGTTTAAAGCCAAGAACCATCTGCTTTGCATGGTACCCGGTGCTTTTCCAAGACTTGAGAACAAGTCATCCCGCGCCGAACAACCCGTTTCCCCATGCGCAAGAACTCCGACTCAGAACCACAATGACCGGCAAGACTCCGATTATGCGGGCTTATGCAAGAGTTGCAAAAGATTCTCCCGGAGGGCTGCCTCGTCCATCTGCCTCGTCCCATAGCTCCTGTAGTTGGGATTCAAAGCCCCATGTCCCAGCGATGTTGCGTGCCTCGCTAATTGGAACGCATATGTTTGCGGCGTTCATCTCCATCCGACATGTCAAGTTTGCTGGTTCCGTCTGATTGGCGGCTGAATGACCATCTACATTGTGGTAATCGAGAGACAGTGATGGTAATTCACTAACCACTTCTACAATGGCTTTGAGGTTAATCTTCTTCTAGCCCCGGACAAGGAAGCGGAGGATTGATGTTGTCTGTCCCATCATTTCATAGTGCAGTATAATCTCTTCGCCAAAATCGCCGATGCGATTCTTTTCTTGCCTTTCCTCGTACAGGTCAAACGTGGCGGCGAACGCCCCAATGCTTGGTAGCATGGCGCTCTTATGGTCGTGCTCCTTGGCGTGGATAAGTGCGTCCTGCTTACAAAAGAAGATGGTTGGATATGCTGAGCATATCAAGCCGTCCTGCCTGGGATGTGAGTGCCAGGAACCCTTTAGACGGCGAGTGGTCCAGAAAGTATGCTTCGGTACCCTCATCATGACATCGCGAGCGTCTCTTCTGCTCCGAGGCAGCGTCTATTCTTGGATTGTTTCTATCACGATATGCCTACACTTAATATGCAAGCCTCGCTCACCACTCCAGGCTCAAGCTGTCAGCCCAGCTGCCCTTCTTCTCAACCTTGTACGCACTCTCGACATTTCCGTTCCCCAAATCCGCGCCGTAGAAATGCGCAAAGCAACCTCTGCCGACCTCTTCCCACTTAAGCTCACCCTTCTTATCCGCATGAACCTGCCCATCGCCATCGGTGCCCGCGACCAGCACGTCGTACTTGATCTTCAGCAGCCACAGCTCCGAGACGTCGCTGAAGAACTTATCCGCAGTGCCGGGTACTTGCTCCGAGGTCGAAAGGTGGATGTAGCCGTCATTGCGGTCGAGGTCTGAGAGCGGGAGACGCGCGGGGAGGGGGGATGGCGGGGCAGCAGGGAGGATCTTGTAGAGGTAGGTTGGAAGGGGCGAGGGAGCCGGCATTGTGGCGCGTAGTATGGATTGCGATGACTGGAATGATCCCGGTATTGAATGTGCGGTGAGAACAGCTCGTGACAGGCGAGTTCGAAAAGATGGTAGTTCGGGCACAAACTAGAGAGCGTCACAAGTCGCGAGAAATGCACGTTATTCTCATGATTGGCCGACGCGAGATTACGTGAGACAGGGCGATTATCCACCCCAACCACGGAACCAACATGCCTCTTGAGCGCCACAAAAGTCAGCCTGGACGAGATTCATAGGCAACCATGTCGCGTCCGTCTGCGCACCGTACCTCGACCCATCCGCAACATCACAGTAGGGTTTTCCTGAGCGCCCCGTTGTGCGGTACATTTACGTCATCTTTCGGGCTTCGCACAACCGCAGGAGCTTTGGGTGCCAGAGGGCCACCGCAGAACACGTTGGCGACCAAAAACACCTACTCGTGAGACCCAGACACACGATTGGACGCGCGTGACGAGTCCATCCTGTTTTCCCATCCACTACCACGAGAAATCAAGACTCGCTACCACTCATATGCACCCACGATAGTCGCCAGGCTGGGTGTGCGCGCGGCTTGGTAGGATGCTCCGACCGGCAACAACAGTTTTAAACGCCAACGAGCCCGACCAACATGGTTTCCATACGACTCACCCAGGATGAAATGCACCACCTTTTGGAAGAGCAGGGAAATGGCCAGACGCGCTGCTGTGTCCAGGCGACGAATGCGACACCAGCTGGGTCGCATGTGACTTTTGGTTATCTAAACAAAGGAGCTGCAAATGTCATATTCAAGATCAGACCCGAGACCAGCACTGTCGCGACACGTTTCCAGTTCGTCGATGTACTTTCCAAAGACAGAAAAACTGGCGTAGCAACATCAGTACCCCATCGAAGCCTGATGGGAAGAGTCCTCCGCGTACCCAGAGGCGGCCTAAAACACTTGTCATCCCTAGAAATCCTGCATGGCTTCGAGCATGCAATCCGGCCACTCTTCCTCCCAGGTCCACGTAACAAACCCCAACAGCCCGCTCGCGATCTCACAAAGCACCTCATGGACCACGAAGGCGTATTACTCATGCCAGACGTCATGAGCCACCTCTACACGCGCGTCGAAAAGCACACCTTCGCAACCCCCCAGTCGCGACGAAAGTGCTGGGGCATCCTCCTCCCAGACATGTCGCCCACACCCGGTACATCCATCACCCTCGAAGTAAAACCGAAATGGCTCGCGCAATCGCCCAACGCACCACCTGGAGCAATCCGCTGCCGCACCTGCGCCATGCACGTTTCTGTACCCAAGAAAAGGGATAACTATATCTGTCCCCTGCAGCTGCTGCATGGAAACTCCTCGTCCCTACTACCATGGTCCCAAGCGACAGTTTCCGAACAGTTCGACAGCAATACTGGGAAAGAAGCCCGACCATCCCCCGCCGTCATCGCCGCGCTTGTAAAAGCACTCGTGGATTACCTTACCATCAGCGACGGTCTCGCGCTCCTACAACACCTCCTCAATCTGCAGAGTTCGCTTGATCCGCGGGGTGTGCTTTGTCGACCTAAGAGTAACGCCGAGGCGTTTGATCATAACCTTAGGCTGGCCATGACGCTGAGGGACTGCTCGATGTTCATCAAGGTTGCGTATGACAAGGCTGGTGTTACGGGGATAGAATCGAAATTGGGGGACTTGGATTTCAAGTCGGCGGAGAAGATTGTGGATTGGATGGATAAGGAGAGGGGGTTGTTGCTGGATGGGTCGTATACGAAGGGGGTGAAAGAGGGGCCGGTGTGTTGGCTTCAGAGGGGTTTGGGCGTTTGAGGATGTTTGTTAATGGCTGGAACAGTTTTCAGGTTGTTTTATTATGTTTTCATATTGAAGATAATGTATGAACACTATAGAAGGGGGGGTCTCAAGGGAACGGAAAAAAGATGGATGGGTTTCGATACAACAAGCACATTTAATTCAGATGTTTACATTGTCGCTAAAGAGGGAAGGAGGGTATCTATGTAACGCCAATGCCCATGAGATCCTATCGTAGATGGCGGGGACTCCAACCCTGTCCCTCGCCCAAAGAAGAATAAAAACGCTACAATCGCGTAACAAGAACACACTGACAGTGTTCGTTCATTCAATCATCAGTCATTTATGCAATCCACCACCTTAACACTCAGGCCCCCTCGGGGGTAAAACAATGCACACGAACGGTACCATCTTCACTCCCACTAACGACTCTCTCGTCACTCAAGCCCACGCAAGTGATAGGACCGGTATGCCCCGTAAGCGTCCTCTCGTGTTTCCCCGTCCGGGGATCCCATATCTTAATCGTCTTATCCTCTGCTCCACTAACCAGTCTGAGTGAATCGGCGGCAAGCGACCAGATGCCCTCGACATGGCCGAAGAAGCGGTGGACACAGCGACCAGAAGGTACGTGCCAGAGACGAATGGTGCCGTCGAGAGAGCCGGTGAGCATGTATGAGGGCGGAGACGGACGAGAGGGGTCGTCGGGAAAGAAACTTGGTTCCTCGGGGTGACTGTGGTGGTGAGAAGAAGAAGACGAGGTATGGGCAAGAGGCGGGGCGGTATCCGAGGCAAGGGAGGCAGTATCGGATGTATCGTTGTTTGCGTTTGCGACAAAGTCGTCTTCGTCAATTTCGAAGGCTTGAGGGAGGGGCAGCACTTGTTGGACTTGGCCGACGTGCCCTTCGTACGTCTTGATGCAGCGGTGGGTGTCGAGATCCCATAGCTTGACGGTCATGTCGTCGGAAGCGGAGAAGAGGGTACGCGAGGGGAGGTCGATCTTGACGGCGTTGACCCAGTCTGTGTGGCCTAGTAAGGTGGTGCGCTTCATGTGGCTGAAGTCGTGCACCATGATGGTGTTGTCTGAAGACCCGGATGCGAGGAGTTTGTCTGCCATGTGGAGGCCAATTACACCATCACTGTGGCCGTTCATGGATTTTACAAGTTGGCCTGTCCGCCAGTTCCAGATCTTGATCGTGTTGTCCAAGCTGCCGGTGATCAGTTTGCTGTCTTCAAACTGCAGGCATCGGATGCCTTGGGTGTGGCCTGTGAGGGTGCGGATCTCTTGGCCAGTCTTGATGTCCCAGACTTTGATCGTGGCATCGTAGGAGCCGGTGATGAGGACTTCATCGTCGAATTGCAGGCACATGACGCCGTTGGTGTGGCCCTTGAATATACGTGTCGAATAGCGCCCATACTTCCAGTTGCTCCCAACCTTGTAGCGATCCTTGTAGACATCCTTCCATGGTCGCTTCTTAGGGTGATCAAAGTATGATATGGCTTGGTCTTGACCTGCTTGGAGGCTGGTGCATGGTCGCTTATTCGAAGCTTCCGGGGAAGAATCGTCGTCGGGTACAGAGCGCTTGGTGCTGGCAGCGGGGTCGGGGCCCTGGGATAACCGATGAGCGAGTGTGTCGGGTGAGGTCTCGGGCTGTGGGGTGATGTTTGGCGACCACTCGTTGAGGCCCCGCCCCGATGCGCGTAATTGTATTCGTCTCTTCTCGTGGCGCAAACGACGTTGGTCGAGAAGCGGGAGTCCCCAGCCGCACTTTGTGCACTTCCTGTCAATGTGTTGTTCGCACATCTTGTGCCAGACGACGTCATCGTCGGCCAGTTGTCTCCACCGCCGATTGACCTGCGAGGCCTTGCAGAGCGAAGTGGTGTCGAGGTAGCAGAGGATCTTGAAGCCCAACTCGGTGGGGAGTGCGCCGAGAAAGTCGATCTTGATGAGGTTCCGGACGGAGGAGGATATGAAGGAGAGCTGAGGAAAGCAGCACTGGGCGAGGATGCCCTGCAGCATGAGGTTGCGATGGCGGGAGGGAGCCGCCGAGAAGAGCGACCAGACGTTGGCAATGCTCTGCTGGTCGGCCTGGGACTCTCTGCCGAGTTGTTCCTGCAGTTGCTCCATGGACGGCTCGTCTGCTTGTCGTCGACAGAGTAGATCGGGACGGTGTCGATAGCAGAACTTGGTGTTGGCAGTGCGTGGACGCTCGTCCTGCCCTGGGCTGTTGGCGCCGAGGGGGTTATATTGTTGGGGAATGTGCTGGGCGAGGTATGGCGTGATCATCTTCTCCATTTTCTTCGACTTGTTCGCCTGGGCCTCTTCGGCTTCGTCGGTGCTTGCGTGCTGGTGTCGTGTGCGCTCCGACATGCCTTCGTGGTCGTGGCCATGCATCAGGGCAGCGTGCGGGTCTGTCGAGGTGGCGGCGGTGAAGTCGTCAGGCGACGAGTCTCGGGGGCGCCATGAAAGGCGTCTTGGTCGGGGAGGAGCGGTGGTGGCGTGGGTGGTTTGCGACGCCATGGTCAATTCATGGGCTGCGGCAAGATGCGAGGGCTGTCGAGATTCCGGGGCGATATCGCGTGCGAAGCCCAGGTCGCTGGTTCAACAGGCGGCAGGCAGGGCGGATGTAACGGCGACTCGATGGCACGTTGCGCATAAATATGGCAAGCGAGCGACAGAGTTTGGGCGCACGAGGAGGTGGAATGGCGCAATGGCAGGCTTGGATAGCATCTTCAGCACGCAATGCCAATGTCTCCGCAGCCCTGTGGACCCTGGCACGCTTGCACCCCATGCACAAGCTCGGGCCATCTCTAGTCGCGCATGCCATCATTCACCATCACGAGCCTTGCATCGCCCACCACAACGCGACCGGCACCGCTGCCACTATGCTCAACACCAGCTGCCGTGGCCGCCGATACGATGGCCTCTCCCCCGTCCCCCGCTTCTCCCACCAGCAGCGCTGCATCTAGGACGTCGCTGGACAACGACCAGGCCCAGTCGCTCACGCTCGAGCATCTCGTCAAGCACTTTGTCGCCGCCAAACGCTCCCTCAACACCCAGACGGTCCTATGGCGCGCCACCGACATCGTCAACACCGCACGTGACCTGCTCGAAGAGAACGCAGTCGTTTCCGCCAAGAACACGTCCATCCGCAACCTCGTCGAGCAGCAGGTGGATGCCCTGGAAGCCGTCCGCCGCGGCGTAGACGTGGTCGAGTCGGAGGTCCAGGCCGAGTTCAAGCAGCTGCTCCACGACGTCGACGCCTCCTTTGCCGGTGTCAACTCGACCCTCGCCGTCCTCCGCGATACGCCCATTGAAGGCGCCCTGCAGCCTCCGGGCACTCCCCAGAAGCACCTCTACGACTTCATCGACAGCGCCACCGTCTCCAACCTCCAATCCACACTGCGCGCCTGCATAGACCGCTATAACGATGCTCATGCGACGCTCGACGAGAGCTCCCATGTCTTCGATACATGTCTGGACAACCTCTACTCCTCCATCGAGAACGTGCCCATGACACCCGTGTCCACGTCCACTCCGAGCCCTATACCTAGCCTCTACCATGATCTTGAAGGCCACGCGAAAGAGGCTGCGCAGGCATTCCAGTCGCTTGTTCAGCACTACGACCTGTGCATAACAGCCTTGCGCCATACAGAAGGAGGTTCCGCTGCTGCCACCCAAGCAACAGGAGATGCGCCAGTCCACTCCGAGGATAATGGCGCCGCGCCTCCCGAGCCCATGAGCGAAGAGGAGCGCCGCGACATGCTCAACGTCTTGCAAAAGGACGCGCAGGAGGTGGAAGACGTCGTGACCGAGATACAGGAACGAGGCTCTGAGATGACCTTCCTCCTGGGCCAAATCGAGAATCACATCCGCCACGTCCGCAGCGAGTCGTCAGCCCTGTCCAAGATACTCGAGATGATGTCGCAAATCACTGGCCAAGTCAAAGAGCACATTGTGACCTCACGCTCCTTCTATGCCTCATGGCTGGAAGACACACGGCCTAGCCTGCTCAGCGGCATCGACGAGTGGGAGAGCCAGCGCGACTTCTTCGAACGCTTCGACCTTGCCTACGCCGAGCTCCTCGTTGAGGTCTCGTCACGACGGAGGCGGCACGAAAAGGCCAAACGGAAGGCTGAGGAGGCGCAAAAGGAGCTAGACAGGATACGCCTCGAGGATGAACGTGCAAGGGAGCAGTTTACCGTGGCCCAGGGCGACTTTCTGCCCTTGGATATATGGCCGGGTCTGAGGGATCCGCCGCGCCAGTACGAGGTCAGAGTTGTACCCGCTAGTGTAGAGGGTGAGCAAGATGAGAACGACCAAGAAATATACGGTGGCCAGAGTATACCTCAACTAGGGAGGACCGTTGTTGAAAGGGCTCTCACGCGAGTCAAGCGACGAATGTAATTGACTGGTATCATATATACTGGCTATATAGCCCTCACGTCGGCTTCCGTCCGTGAGTAAAATAGAAGCGGATATACATATGCACATCCTTCCTCCTGATATCCGCAACCACCTTGGCAATCATGACACGGCACTCGGACTCACTCCAGCCCATGACCTTGCCCAGGAGACCGAGAGTGTAAGGCTCGATGCCCATGGACATGTGCTCGCGCTGGTAGCGGCCGATTTCCTTCATTTTCGCGTCCTTGGCCCAAGGGCCGATAGGGATCTACAGGCACCGCATTAGCCTCGTAAACGGCATAGTGTAGGGGAAGAGGGTAGACATACCTTGATGAGCTTCTCGTGAACATCGACGAACCCTGCATCCGTCATCCGCTGCTTCAGGCTATCCCCGGCCGTGATGTCCCTTCCCCACGTTTTGGCGGCAGCGTGGCACAACTCCTGCCACTAGAAGTAGAGGTACGAAGTCAGTATATGTATCACATGCACTTCGTACAGTCAAAACTTACCTTGAGCATGTCGGTAGCCAGCTCCATGGTCCCGTCGTCACACTCACACAACGCAAGCGGCTCCTGGAACTCTACCCAACCACCGGGCTTAGTGTGCGTGTACG